GATACATTTTTCAAACATACTTCAGGACGTTTGCACACACGAAGATGTTTTTTGGCAAACAGTTTTAACAAAACATCATTTCGCTTCCAGTTTTTATGATATTCAAGTTTATCAATGATTCGACGAAGACTCAACCCACGACAAGAATAATACAAGAAAAAAATACAGAACAGTCCACACAAACTAGAATTAGGATGCTGCAATTGAGTATGGTTTTCTTGGTAATGACCATGAGCGTCTGGAAAATTTTCCACAATGAATTTATCAAATTCGATTCCATAAAACAATGCTGATTTTCCAAAGGAATCGAAAAACGTGATAGTTTTTGGGTTCTTGGCAAAAACTGCTAGCCAGTGCTGCCCTGGCAAGGCTTTCTTATCGCTGTTGACAATAAGAGCGACAGGATATTTTATCTTTTTCAGCTTTGGAAGTGCGTCTCTTGCGAATACTCCGACAAAAATGCCTCTAAGACAGGGGTCGTGCCGCACTATATCCAGCAGTTGTAGATTATTCATTTTCAAGCACGCTTGTATGGACAATAGACATTCCTCCGCGAGTCTATCTCAACCAATGCATTTTTGTTGTAATAAATAAGAATAGATAAGGTATTGGTAGTTGGTGTAGAAAATGTTAGCGAGAGACCAAGAATGCCTTTCTTGGTTGGGTTTATACAAGAATGGTCCCCAATATCCGGTTCCAGATTGAAACCATAAATAGCAAATCCGTTTCGCCAATCAGACTGCGTGAATGGTAAAGCGGAGCTTTTGTAAATCATTCCTGTTGTTTCGAGGAGACTTTGATACCCATCTCTTGAGTTAGTATCCGAAATTTCGAGAGCTTTACCCGGAAACGGTTCTGAATTAATGTAAGTTATAATCTGGCTAACGCCGTATCTGTCGAAACGATAGGGATTTCGAGCAATGTTTCCACCAACAGCCTCCGCATGCACTAAGGCCACGAAAATTTGTTTTGGTATCACACCTCGAAACAAATCGTCCCTTGACCAATGACTGCTCCCGTTTGGGATAGTCATCTCCAGAACGTTTGATTCTACGTACGGAATCATTGCGTTCCGTTTTTGAATCATTATTTCGTGGGCCAAAAGAAATTCCGGGTCCAGCTTAATTTTTCGTAATTTAAGTGCCGCTCGTTTTATAACGATTTTAAGGTCCGGTTGTGCAACAGATGATACCAAGGCAAACCTGTCTTTTGAGCGCGATAAAACAAGTTTCATATCAATTTTCGAGGGTATCAGACGTGGTTGGTTCGCGAGATCGCTCGGGAACTTCATAAACATGTTCCACATGGTACCGTTTGCCAACTGCTCTCGACGAGCAATGTAACCCTCGTTAAGCTGAATATTGTTCGGATTAGGATCAGGTACGGCAAGGCTGAATGAGTCAAAAAGATTGGAGTCATCCAGCGAGAAACCAGAGCCCAGCAACTGCTTTTGGCCATCATTCCCGTAGTTTAAAAGGTTTTCAAAATATGAAGAATAATGCGAAAGGGACGGATTTGAAGAAACCGTTTCACTGTTGAAAAGAAGTTCGTGTCCGCTGAACAAACTTCGCGCAAAATTATTTACAGGTCCCCATTCGATAGCCGCAGCCGGCGCGGCGTTCGCAGATGTTAAAACAGCGACGTCAAGTAGGATAGAGCTGTGCGCTAAATCAAGCATTTCATCTGGCGTCCCGGCAATTTCCCAGCTAATAGTATCCACATCTAAAGTATTTCCGATAGGGTTGTAGAGAACATACTTTGCTGATTCGATTGCCGTCTGAGTTGGAGGTAAGGAAAAATGATCAAGCTCAGATTTTAAGCATAGAGCGCGTGGGGATGGACGTCCGCCATTCTCAAATGAGTTAGTGTAAAATGGTGTTTAAAGGCAATCGAAGTCGTTTACGATGGCGACGGGTGCGATGGGTGTGCTTGGGAGTCCGCTTTTTATGCAAACGTTTTCCTTTTGGCTTTTTTGAAACTGATTTGGTGCGTCGTGTGCGTTTTTTCTTTATTACTGGCTTCACCGAAGTCTTTTTAGTCTTGCGATGACGCTTACGTCGTTTGCCCATCCCTTTTTGCAAATCAGCGGCCATGCTTGCCAGAGTTTCACGCGTTCTTGACTGGGCGGAGTCTAATAAGGTTGTCTTATTCTGCATAACATCGTTAACAACGTTTCGATCCAAACGAACCAAATTAGGAAAAATAACATTTTTTGCTGTTCGAGCAAGGCTTCCGAAAAAATTTCCCAGCGAGCCGTATCCATTCTGTACATGACCGACATTTGAGGTATAATTTGGAGATAATAGTTGGACATAAACTTGCGCGGGAATCGAAAAACTATTAACTTCATCCATTATCGACGGCGAAAATTTAATTGCAGAATCGTTGTTCCTTTATCAAAATCAACTGCACGTCCTTCAAGATCAGTTATCGAGAAGAGTAAACGATCAAACTGACTGTTTTCGACGTTAATATACTGGAGTATAGGAACATAAGCATTTCCACTCGTAACTTGTTTGGTCGGAACAACCGCAAGAAGGGACACTCGTGTTTTGTTAACAATCTGACTGCGCACTAGATCGCTTAACACACGCAACGTTCCGAGATTTTTTGATCTTAAGTTTGGCGGACACTGGACATAAGCCAAAGCTACTTCAAATTCAGTCAATAACTGAATATAATTAGGCAAAAATACACTGAACTCAGATGGAGAGTTACCAGACACTGCGTCAGAAGTAACTGTTATATTGAAATTTTCCATTTTTCAAACCAGAGCAACAATTGAAAAATTTCGAAAACACACTGTAACTTTTACTCTCAGAGGTATTAAGACTCGGCTACACGACTTTTTCGAAATCCAGATTTTTATAAAAGAATGAGTCCCAACCGTTTAAGCTGTGCAACTGAAATCCATTTGTCGAACTTTTTATGCCACCCAACGTAACGAATCAAAACTTTGTTGCCTTTTCTCGAGAGCACTGTGATTTCGGCAGACTCAGGAGTGTCTTTAGGAACTTTCTGTAATTCCCACATATAAAAACGACCGTCCATTTCTTCATTTAGCAAGTCTTCGACTTTATACATAGGAATTCCTTCATGTATTTGCAAAGATTTTACTCGATATACTTCAATTGTCCACCCTGGTGTATATCCTTTCTCCATATGAGTCTTTTTTAGCGAAAGGCGAACAAAATCACCAACACGTGGCGTTTCTTTAAGCGCTCGTTTTGCTGCATATTCTGATTTGTCCCCGTACAAAATTTTTTTAAACTTCCCGGTTTTATCTTTAGTTACTTCGTTCGGCGTATGAAACTTCAAACTTCTATGTGGACTGTTGTTATACGCATCAATAAATTTTTGAATAACATCAATCCACCTCTTTGTCCGGTTATGCGAAAAGTATCTAAACAGCTTTGTGGATAAAGTGCGATTGAGACGTTCGACTTGACCCGCTTTGATCTCAGCGTTGTTTGTTGAAAAATGTTCGATTCCGTATTCACTCATTAAACTTTGAAACTCCGAGTTGTAGAATTCCGTTCCCAAATCAGTTTGGACTTTATTAGGTATAAACCCACAACGATTCAAAATTAACTGAAAAGCATCCTTTACATCCACAGCACTTTTACGTTTAATTGGTTCAATCCACGCACGTCGAGAAAAACAATCTTCAACAACAAGAAGGTAATTATACCCATCATTCTGTTTAGCGAGAGCAGTGTAATCAATTAAGTCCGCCTGCAGCTGATCTTCAGGTCCGGGAACAACAAAATGCAAGCGTTGAAATTTTTTTCGCACAGGTTTATGTAACGTATACGCTTTCTGGCGGCTGAGAAATTCCTTAACGGCTTCAGGTGAAACAGTGTCTTTGGAACGTTTTTGCGCTTCTCGTAGAAGAGGAACGACACCACCAAACGCGCCAGGAGACGAAGGATCAAAATAAATTTTTTTCAGTAAATTTTCCATGGATGATTGCAGCAAGACGATTGTCAAGTCCTTTTGGAATCGTGGAATTCAAAAACTGAATACGCATCTGGCCTCGCCAAACAGTCAAACATTTGTAAAACATAATACATGAACAAATTTGAACGCTCTGGCCAGTATATTCTTCAACAACTTCTCTGAACAATACACGCAGAACTTTTTTATTTACGGAATTTAACAACGTGTAAAATAAGCTGTCCTTGTCTTCTCGATCTTCCGAACGATCCATGCAAGTGTGAAGGGGGTCTATACGGTAACAAGCACGGGACACCATTCTTTCCGATTTCAAAAACTGCTGATTGAGTAAGCAACCCAGAATGTACTTGAACGCCGCTGTACATCGCTTATAAGCGGTTCGTTTAGAACAATGAAAATCAAGACGATGATCGCAGTCTGTGCATAGACCAGAAATCAGTTCGAGCTTTAATGTACCATCGTTATCAGACTTTAAAGTAGACATTGCGATTCAGAGACATCAACAACCAAGTATTAATCAATAAAATATCCTGGATCGTCGTTATCGAGATCCTCGGTTAACATATCAGGATTAAAGCGTTCCATCAACTGATTTACAATTTTGAACTCTAGAGAATCAACTGCAGGAAAAGGTATACCGCGATAGCCAAGTGGAAAAGTTTCGAAGTCACGCCCAATAACACGACTGGTCACAGTACAACCAATGCGGCGAATCAACGGCACTGTCTGAATGCTTAGCTTATCGGTATCCTTTTTAAATGTAATATCGTGACAAGCCGTTATCTGTGTGGGACCATCACCGAACAACATCGACTTCAATGTTTTGATATTGACGCGATCTTTAAGCCCATCACTCTTTGGGATTCCTTTGCACTTAATGCGTTGTTCACCATTGCTCATAACCTGGCAATACGTTTTCTTTGCGAGTGCAGCCAATTCGACGAAATGCTTTCCGCCGAGGTCGTCGGATAACTGTCCAATGATCTCACCGACAGGGGGATCATCCGTTCCCGGAACACTCACAAACATAACGGAGTCAGTATCGCAATAGAGCAGACGATCTTCCACAGCTCTGAGCGCTTTAAGTAACTCGAGTTGAGCAAGCTCAGTCGTGAATTTACCGATGTATGGGTTAGTGCGTTTGTTTGGAGCTACCTAAAACATTTTTCGAAAAACGTGCCGAGATTAGTTACCGCAGGACTGAAACATCACTCTACAAGACAAAAACGAAATTTCCATACCCATCCAGCTTTTTCTTGAAACGTAACGTCAATCGAATTTCCTTCGTTAACCATGCGAACATCGTTCGTTATGTACTGGTTGTTGAAGACAATGTCCTTCATATCTTTGTATGTGTGGCAGTATTTATTCTGCCGATAAATTTCCTTCATGACATACCTATTAAGGAAAATGATTCAAGAAATGATTAAACACTCTTGAATCACATTCCTTACCGTCCCCAAACGCAGTTGGCACTGATCTTGCTGGAGTGCCGTAAGCCAGGGTTGTAGCTGACTTCTTCGGGCGTAAAAATAATTCCAAGCTCATCCTCATACTGCTGACAGTAGCGAATCTTCTCTTTAGTCGTTGTAATGTGTGAAGGAAAACCACTGCTGATGATTTTAGCGTGAATGAGATCGAGCAAAAACTTGGCAAAAATTCCTCCCGTTCGTGTATCTTTGTTAAATTTACTGCGGTTCGGAAAATGGTGCACTTCATACACTTTACGAATCAAATATCCGTCTTTGACAGCTTGTGACAGGACACGTCCTGCACAGAGTATACACTGTACGACCGTCAACCAATCGGCATGGAAGGGTGGGGACTTTCAAGTCGTACGGCGGCCAGACAAAACAGTACACGACGCCAAAGTATTCATTCAACCTGAACGGCTTTTTGGAGGCTGGAAAATCCGGAAAAATAATTTTTGGATGTCCGACAGGATATTCCCCAAAAATCATAACCGATGGATACAAAGAAATAAAATCCAAAGCTTTTCCTTTACAACCATCCGGAATGTCTTTGTAGATCGAAAAGACTTCTGTTCGACCCCCGAATAAATGATCACGGACATTCATGCGCTTCCGGAAGTCATTTCCAACTGTAATCTCTCCACTTTTAACTTTTTCGTCGAAATCGCATTCCCAAATGCTTCTGAACCCTCGCACACGCACTTCAGGGTTTTCTTGGTTAGGATAAACGTTTCTAATGTAGTGCTCGACTCTTCTCGTCTCCTCCCGCAGTTCGCCAAAAGTCTTCATTCGTACTGTGTTCATACGGGAGGGATTGGGGAAGCACTTCCGACAGCCATGCCAAAAGCACCCATAAAACTGCCACACATCGCCAAACTCGTCAAATCCGTCCACGGGGTATGGACCAATATACAATTCCCCCTCTAGCTTACGCGCATGGCGTACTTCCGTTCCCGTTCTATTCTCGAACCACGTCATCCACTGAATAGCCTTATCGCTTTGATTATGCGCCCTGCCGTAGCCGTTCGCTGGAAGTATTCCAATCGTTTCAGGTTGCAGGTAGTGCACTTGAAAGGCTTTCATAACGGCCGAAGGATTCGTGGGTTCGTCGAAAGGATCCAACCCGGGAAAGAGATTAGTAAAGGATGAACGCGTAATCTTGGCACACTCGCGTAGGACCAGAACGTCGTTGACACAGTATTTTTCGCACTCATCCATAAGATTGTAGTTATTTCCGAAGATGTGTACGGCATTGGTGTACCATTGCTCAAACTCGCTTATCTTCGATGCAGACATCCGTTCAGTATTGAAGAACTCCTTAGCTGAAATTTCGAAAAGTCTTGGTACGTCCAACAGGAAATAAATACCTATGCAAGTTTACTAAGCAATTTCGAAAATTTATCTCACCTGGCACCGGGCCAATGTAGTTTTCGTTTTCAGGAGTATTAAATAAATACGGGAAAAATCCTTTGAGGACCAGGTGGCTTATTCCGAGATCCTTTGGAAGCTCCGCCAGACTTCTCGGCATAAACGAAAGCGTATCCACGAATCTAGCGTTCACTCCTGGTACTGTGATCAGAGTAAGACTGGCACCATCTTGAATTTTACGAGCATAATGTCCTTGGCCTTCAAGTGCTCGAAGGATAAAATAGTTATCATATCGTCGTCCGTTGTGTGACAGGAAAGTGCAGTGCTTTGTATGTTTGAAGATCCATTCAAGTAAATCATCAGCGCACGAATTGCCACGAAATGTCAGGCTAAAGTTATCGTCGTCCAAACACATAAGCGCCGCCATGTTTGGATAATGGTAGCGCGAATTATCCAAACCAGCTTCAAAATCGAAAACAAATTTCTTGCTCACAAACTTCGTAATCCGTACATCTGATGTAACTCTGTTCGCTGGTCCATTTTCCAGGTTGGAGACTTCCTTGCGAAAAGAGTCATTAAAGTCCGACTGTGCATCAGTCTCGTCAAACTCACTTGCTGACTCTGCTATAGTACTCTCGATCACTGAAATACATCCGTCGCTGTCATCATCGTCATCATTACAATCATCGTCGGAAACGTTATCATCAACTCCAATGCTCTTTGAACTAAGAGATTTTTTCTTCACCGCCTTTTTTGCTTTTTCTCCGCATAGAATAAAGCATAAATGATTGCGCTCCACCATTTCTTTACAATTTCTGCATTGAGTTGTGTAGCACTGATGCGGACCGGTATGGACACGGTTAGGTGGATTTACAAACACACCACACTCAGAACATCTTTTCCAAACTTCGCATATGGTTTTTTCTTTTGTGTAGTATCCTTTGTTCACCTTATGGTTGTCGAAACATTTCTTTGAATAAAACGTGCGATTGCAGTCTCCGCACAGAAAGTCTTCGCGAGGCCAATCGTATCGACCACGTCCGTAACATTTTACGCCTCCGCATAGATTGCAGAAACCAAAACACTTATGTTGGCGTTTATTCCTGTAGAACACACCGCATGTCTCGCAACGGCCATCGAATCCCATTAAAGCGTGAGGCTTTACCACAGCATCAAAGTGCTTGTTGTGGTAGATTAGTGTCACTAGGTGTTTACACTCCGGGGAATCGTACGTTTCAGCAAACTGGCATTCTGCGTCAATCAAACGCAACTGGCAGTCATACCGCTCACGTAAAACTTGAGAAAATTTATCCAGTTCTATTAACCCGCATGGTTCCGGAAAAACTTTGGCTTCCCATCGTAACCTTTGGGCAAGATCGTGCTGGAATTTCTTGCTGGAATCTCGGATCTTATTGTAATTAGGAAGTTCCAAGACCTTTGCAAGCACTACGGCAATCGCTCTAGAGCAGCACAGCGTATTATTCGGATCGTATTTGTTATTCGGCCGAATTACGACAACACTTTTACGCTGTTCGAGGTATTCCGAGAGTTTAAAAGCCAGACGATTCTTTCTGATAGAACGGTTACCTGCTCCAATAAGGTTGTGAACGACCAAGAACGTACAGCGAAATGACTCCGAAAATGTGAACTCAGTATTTCCACTTCGATTTGCACGTTCGATCAGATCAAGAACAGTCTTTGCTGTGAGTTCGACGGCCGTCTTGGTTCCCGTTGAAATAGCCCCACTTGTTAGCGAGTCGTGTTGCAGAATTAGACGAACGGCGTCGTGAGGCTCGACGGAGTGTTGATTGTAAAGGTAGTTCAAAAGGTGCTCAAACATGTAGTACAGACGATACATCGAACCTTCAGCGTCGGTCGGGTCTATATGGTCGTGGCGAAATATGGTAAAGCTGTCCTCAACCGTGTGAAACCTTGCAGATGGGGTTATCTGGCGAGTCTCTGGCTTTATTGAGTATGCCGGGCTACAAGTCCACACGTTTCTCAATTTTTCGAAAACATTCAGTAAACTAAACAACACAACAATTCCGTACAGCAGTTACCATGCAAAATCGAAAATTACAATCGATTAATAAACGAAAGTACATGTAACAGATAGAAACAGCCACTAATATTTTGACATCAATATTGACATTATAAGTTAAAAGAACGCCATGCGGAGAATATTCTAATGCCTTGAGAGTAAACGTAGTGAGAAAATTCCCGGTCTTTAAGGAGATGCGACTTACAGAAGATGACCATAGGCATTCTGACGAGCAATCGGAGCCGGAGCATCCCCTCGTGATGGCGCAGTCGACTTCCCAGCTCCTGTCATAACATCTGGCTGCCGTCGTAATACAAATTCTTCGTAGAACCGACGGTTCATTTCGCTTCGCAATCGTTCTTCCTGATCCAAGCGTTCACGACGCTGCCGCTCCTCCATCTCTCTCAGTTCACGTATGTAGACGTCGTATCCTTGAGCTCCGTGACCACCTTCCGCAAACAGCTGCGTCATCGGACTTTGGTATTGCTGTTGAGACGGATGATAGTCTACGATGAAAGGTCTTACGATAGAACAAATATACTAAAACTAAAAAAAAAAAACTGCTCTCCTCACTTGAGATGTAGTTGGTGTTGGATGCGTTGAAAATTGCCGGACCCGGAACGTACGAACCGTTCTGCTTCGTGTACCCAGACGTTGACGGTGCAGAAAAATCGTTGCGAGTTAGCATCCCAGTTCCGTTCTGGACAGCGTAGGTCGGTGAAACTTGACCCATGGGAGGAAAACTTGGGACGGCTGCTATAGTTTTGCCTTTACCAGCAAAACTCTGATGCAGAGGATGGTACACTATAAGAACGAAAATTTATCGAAAAAGCATGGTACGGGATAGAAGGTTATAAGCCTTTAGACGATTTACAAAACAATTTCGAAAATCTGTTATCTTGCTGATATTTAACTTCTAAAATGTTTTTTTTAGAATTCTTATCATAAAAAATAACTTACTTCCAGTCGAGCTGGCCACAACTTCGTGCAGGTTTGGTTGAGAAAACCGTTTTCGCTTTGCAACTTTCATTGGAGCATCCGGGATAGGACGGCGCTTTGTGGATGACGCAGGAGATGGTGGCGGGGAAATGATTTCGATTTCTGGAACATCCGCACTTCCGGTCTGCAAGTAGACGTTCTCTTTATCAGTTCCCGATGTATCCACAATTCCCAGGCTTTCCAAAAACTTCATTTCGTCATCGTTGGGCATGATTGCCGGCATAGAAGGATGGCGCGGATCGTAAATGTTGGCGCTCGTGTTGAGAATCGGCTCTTTTCCGTCAAGCGTTGGTGCGTCGTTGCCAAAAAGTGCGTACGGCGGATACTTCTGCATTTTCGGCACAGGATACGTACAGTTCGTCAGACGGTCGTAGTTCTCGGGTGCCAAGACAATGGCCATGAACATAGTGTAATGGTTGAGAAGAAACCCAAGCTCCTCAGCACCAAGCGAATGCGCGTACACCACTGACTCAACATTGGTTGGACGAATAGGCACCGTGTCAATAAACTCGCCCGCTGCCACTCGCTCAACACGATCGTAGTTAAGCTGATAAACTGTCTCGCCCAATTCAGTGTAAAAGTTGACCGAGAAACACAACGGACGATCAGCGTCGCCGAACAGATACACGAGCGAGCGCTCGTTCAAAAACTCGCTGGGCTGCAACACCTCCTGCGGCCAGTACGACTTGCATGTGATCTCGCAGCTCATGTCCACGCACGTTGGTACCAGGTATTTTGGCAACAAAAGCGTTGACCAACGCCCGGAAGATAAGAGATTCTTTGCAAGACTTAACTCTGGATTTAACCTTTCGAGACATTTTCGAAACGACGACATTTGTGAAAAAACAATAGGCGATTCCCTACACAAGCGATGAACTTCAGAAACGGGATTTTACGCGAATGAGAGACACACACAAGTTCAAAATGTCAACTGATGAGATCAAATATCAAATGAGCCGCATATCTGACTTCGCGACAACGAAAAAGCATCACTGACCTAGTTTGTAATAGATTCGTCCAATCAAATGGCTAGATACGATGTATAATCGTATCACGCTTCGTACAGCGCTAGCTGTACACGCCGCCCACCTTTGTATAATGTTTGCATAATGCAGGTGAAACTGAAGCGCAACAAATAAAATGCCATACATCTGTCAGTTTAATTGAGTGCAATTACATTGACTGCTGTCAAATAGACGCAAAAGCAGCCAAGCGTGTTGAAACGCTATTCATACTGTTGTTATAATATCCAAGCCACGCGCGTTGGATTCATTCATTCGTACAGTATCTACAACGGATCACTTAGCGAAAGAAAAACAACATGTGCGCGACAAAAAACAAACATTCGCGTTTAATTAAAGGAGATTTTACAGTTGTTCTTCTTCAACACCTTTTGAATAGTCTCCCGTTTAGTGAAGCAGTTGTCTGCTATGAAATTAGTGATAACAACAAGTCTGTGTTTTTTCTTAGTGCCGTTTGCAGCTATAAACTCATAACCCGCTTGATACACAGCCACAATCAGTGACTCGATTTCGGGGATTTGATGAAATTCTTTGGAGCGCACACTCGCGTGCGCCAAGGATTTCTGTACCAGCTCAGCAAAAGTAGCCAGCACGTCGGCATCGTTGCCGACAGCGTCTTTCACTTCCGCCTCGATATCCTGAGTGTAATCCTTGGGAACGCTCAGGTCTGGCATGACAGCCTTCCCACTGGCACGAAAAGCCCGATTGCTGGGAACACTGTATCCCTGCTCTACAAATTGCTCGTCGAGCTCACGCTGCATCGCTTCTTCAACCCCCTCAGCGGTTTCCAGATCGATCTTCTTTGGTTTGGAAGAGCACAAGTAATGGCGATCGTAAAGTGCTGCTTCCGCATTTAACCGGTTGATTTTCTCTTCATCACTTTCCCGCATACGCATCTTCATATATTCTTTATATGATTTTCGACCAGACATCTAAAAGATATTTAGATTTTTCAGAAATTTTATTCAATTCTGTCTAAGCGAAGCGAAGCGATGCAGCGAAGCACATACAATTACGGCCCATTCACACAAGCGAAGCAAAGTAGCAGCTGGGCTAGACTACCGATACTCTAGTTTATTATTAGAAAAAAACATAATCAATATTAAGGAAAAATCATATAGCCACAATACCACATACAGCCATACACAAGCAGAAAATTTCGAAAAAGCTTGGTAAA